AACGAATGCGTTTTGACCTAACTAAACTAGTTTCATAGATAGTTATCTCATCCTTATCTTCGACACACTTGTAGGTATATCATGATATATCTATATAAAATAAAACCCTTTTAAGTGATTTTGTTTCTTATCACACTCTGCGAAGCATTATAGTGAACGAGTGAACGCCTGCAAGGCGTTCCTATGATGCCTAAGAGACGTCTATATGACGCCTACAGGACGTCACTGACACTTACGAGATGTCCCTAAGACGCATCCGAGACGTCCATGTTATGTCTTGAACGACTGTTTAAGAACAACAATAGACCAAAACAAGACGTTTTAAGTTGTTCTGATCAGTAACAACCGGCCTCTAAAAGACGTCGTTCAGACGTCTGTTAAACTTTTGCAGACCTCTGTAAGGACGTCCTAAATACATCTTCGAGACGTCTTTGTGCGATTTGGGGTTTCAGCCTTAAATAGCATGTTTCGATGACGCTGTTAGCATGGATGTGAAAACGAAGGTCTTTGTCTATGAGTAGACTCCAACTTTTGCATAGGTACATGATTAAATTTCATATCTGTGTTTATTTTCAGGTTCTGGCTTGCATTCAGATGTAGGTATCCGTTTTTCTTTCTTGCAAGATAATACAACATTCGATTTTTGAGGATTGAGTTTCAAGTTTTAATAGCAGAATAGTCATAAATACTTTCAAGATCAATATTAATTTTAGCCTCAGCCATTTTGAAATCATTAGGTGGAAAGCTTAACAATAATTGATTATCATCGACATATCAAGTTACATTCGAGTTTTTAATTTTGACGACCAAATCATATATTAAGAAGAAAAGTGGCCCCTAAGACTGAACCTTGTGGTGCCCCTGAAAAAACAGTCCGTAAATTTGAAGATGGGCGCCCATTGGGAGGGGGGGCATATTCCCCCCTCTGGATTATACTGCAGAGTGAAATACTCTTAATAAGATATCCAATCCTTGGGTAAGAAGAGGCGTGTGAGAACAACCCAACATAGAAGATATTATTTCTGATACCATTGTGAATAGTTGCCCCCCCCCCCTCCGGTCTTCAATTGTCACCAACGGGTTGCATTTTTGATCCTGCACAACCTGTAAACCAAACATGCCCCCCCTCGATTTTGCTATACCTATGGGCGGTCATGAATTTGGAATACTTGTTTCGAGAACCACCTGTTGCTGTGTGTCTGAAATATGATACTAGGAAACATGTTGCTGGTTTATCAAATGGCTAGAAGTTAGTAGATAATGGCTTAAGGTGTCGAATGCCTTACTAAAATCGAGAGAGACAAGAACTGTTGCTAGGTTGTTATCCAAATTGGAGATTAGGTATGTCATTAACTGTAACAGATAGTGCAGAAACACTGCTACGTCCGTTCGAAAGTCAAACTGCTCCTCAGGCAGTATATTTTTCGTGCAAGTAAACTCTAAAATTTGTTGGTAGATTTTGTTTGCATTCTATTATTTTGTTTATATTTTTTTCATATGAATCATATTATGGTATCACCCTCGTATATTTAGTAAACATTATTCCTGAATATTCCCGGTATTTACTTTTTTTATGAACTCTTGATGAGCTCTTGTTAATTATGATGTCAATGATAGTGTATATATACTTTCTTATGCTTATTGATAAGTCAATGTTCTTGTGTATTTTCCCATCATACCAAATTCCTTCAAGATACCGATTTATTTAAAATATTCATTTTGTTAGAGATAATATTATTCTATACTTTGCTGTACAGCCTTTAAGATCTCAATACATAATTTTCGTATACCTATACATATAGGTACTCGTATTATTCTAGACTTTTAAAATGTACTACCACGTTTCTCTCTTTTCTCTTTTTTTAAAATTATTTTTGTCTCTCATATTGACGTTTGTTTATGCGCTATGTATATGGGTAGATATATATATTATTCTAGACTTTTTTTATTAAATTTACTACCACGTTTCTCACTTTTCTCTCTTTTTTTAAACTTACCTACTTACATGTTGTTCATAGTGATTCTTGTAGACCTATGGTTGATGGATGTATCCATTTGCATAATGTTTCTAATAATTTCAAGGGATGACGGAAGAGCACTGATAGTGAACTCCCCCTTGTGGTTCAGTAATTTATTTTTTTTCTCGTTAATACTCATGTCTCTTTTGGATATTTTTTGTGAACTATTTGAAAATAAAGCCATTTATTATTATCTCTAATACTTTGAAAAGAACTGATAAAAGGCTAATAGGTCTTAAATCACTAACTTGTTCTGGATTGTTGGCTTTAGGAAGTGACATAATTGGCGACACTTGCCATAGTTGGGAAAAATATCCTGCCTCTATGCAGCAATTTAGAACATGAACCAACTACCACTAGAAATGGCTGGGAGGCATAATTTTATAATTTCATCAGATAAGCCATCCACGCCTCAAGCATTGGATTTTATATTATTAATAGCAAAAAAACATCATGTGTATTGATAGTTATTAATCTAAAACTTGTTTGATTAGTGGGTTTTCAATTTGAATAGAGCTTAATTTCATCTTCACATGCTAAGTCATCATTTGAGTTAAAAACAGATTCAAAATAATCATTGATAAGATTCACACAAAACGGAATGTCCAGCAAAAAGACTGAAAGACGATGAGAAATAGTTCCAACTCAGTTTGATCCATAACTGAATGACTTTCATGTATCTGATAGGTACTTATCCTGTGATTTTCATTATGGTAAGTCTCCATGTTTTGCTGGTCAGCTGGTGCTTACGTCACACGTGACTCGACCGTATCAAGAACTCCTACTCTCAGGTGTTTTATCTTTCATTTAACCTGGCCAGAAAATATCAAAAAAAAGTCAATGACTATCATTCGTGGCATAGGTACCATCCAACAACCATGAAATATGGACACGTATGCAATGAGCATTGGTTTTCATTTTAGCATGTACAGTCAGCGAAAAACAAAAGTACCTAAGTTCTAAGCCTTTTGTTAGAATACACCAATCTAGGTTAAAATATGATTTAAAGAAATTCCGCTTGAAATAAGTACTCCTCGAGGTGTTGTAGTTAGGACGTTTGAACTTTGATCCATCAAGCTAAACAGATTTCTTAATCCATATTCACTCAAAAATGGTAGACTTGGACATCTAGGGGGGGCGCGTCACCTTCCAAGTCCGCCAATGATGCAGTATGGAACGTTTGCTTTTTTCTATGTGCGTACATCTACAATTTACATTTAACTATGGTGATTGTTAGTTACAACGTCGCACGGTTATCTACAAAATTCAGTCCACTTGACTATATACATCCAATTAGGCCGCTTCAATCCGCAATCCGTCAATGATCACCCATCAACTCAAGATTGATAAAACCATTAAAGAGAACCCACTTATTAATAAAAGAATCCGTTATCATCATATGGAATGACTACTACCACACTACACACGTAGAGCAGTGACACGCCCATCGGCCGGCAAAAACTAACAGGCTTACGTCTCAATCTCCCTTGCGGCATCCCCACCAGCGCCGCGTGATGGCCAATGACGAGAGGCCGCGCCCACTTGAGGACAGTGAGTGAGACATGGAAGTGCTGTCGTACTGATTGGAACGGTACAGAGAGAGATGGAAGAGCCGAGGTCCCTTAATCGATATTCCTACCGGGGTGACCAGACAAGTTTAGGGAGTATAATTCCTTGGACATTATTTCACCGTTGAACTAAACGGCAAATGAAAAAGCTGGATTTTGAATTGCGTCAAAATAGGTACTTACTTTTTTCTTCGTTATTTACCACCTTTTTCCAGTACCCCTCTGAAAATCAAATAATAAAAATAAATTAAAATAGCGTTAACCATGGGATAATTTAGTCAGTTTACCAGTAGTCTTCACTTGGCTGTCAGATTTGATAGTTTATTGAGAGAATCATGCGAACTGTCAAATCTATTCCACGGCCACTGCTATTCAACATAGAAGGAATCGGCGGTTTATTACTTTTCGATTCATACGGATATCCTAATTAATTCGTTTAGAGTAATGTTTTGTCTCACTTATGTCCTAATTTATGTGTGTAAGTTGGCTGAATAAATCGTTTAATCGCTGAAACTCTAATGCTCTTTGGTAGGGTACAACTTATATCATACACGGTTATTAATTTTTAATAAATTCATAGTTGTTATACATTTCGTTTGGTTAAGGGGTTGTATGGCAGAATCTAAATCTTGCCTCCTGTCATATTATTACAAATAAAAAGATTTTATTATTATCGTTATTAAGTTAAAAACAAACCGCGAGTTTAACGAAGCGATACAATAAATTGTAGATATATATATATGACAATATTATTTCAAAAAGCTTATTTTTCCGAACTCCCAACGTTCACATTAGCTTAAAGTTATGCATTTGGATAGAAACATGTTAAATTACTTTCTTTAATTTCTATTCAAATCAAAGTAGCCATTAACTTTAACTTTACGCTATAAAGAAACAGACGTATTACTACGGAAACGAAAGAAGAACCCCAATGCCAGAACTAGTTATATAAGGAATTTCAGTAACGATTTAGACTAAGTTATCCACCTGCTATGAATATTTTAAAATGCTGCATCGTCCAATGGAAAAAGTTATGGACACTCAAACCTCAAACTGAAAATAATATTATTGAGAACGATAAAGTGTTTGTCATTCTGTAGCAAGATCTGTGTCAAGATTTGGACCTCCAAATGTCATTCACCTGCTAACCGTAGTTCGGCTTTGGGTCTAAGCACTTTGGTCCTCCAGCAATCCTTTGCAAAGTATTTATAAATAGACTTTGACACTTGATAGATTCTTGTATTTATTAACCAATATTCTTAATTCTGTTACAGGCAAAGATCCATATTTCCGAACATCCCCCTGTACATGATGGCCACCCATATCGCCTGCCGCTGTCTCTTTTCCTCCATCACTATCTCTCTCTTTCTATCCCAAGCAAGCGCGCACGCACGGCGTGGTAGGCGTGTCCCTCTCTCCAGCTGCCTAATAAAGATCACTATTTTGAAATCTCACTCAGTGCCGCTGTGACAGCGTTTGCTATCGGCCTGTTACCTTACCTGATCTCTGCTAACCACTTGATTCGGGAACCAGTAGTGGTGTCAGTGCCAAAGTGCTAGTGTTAGTGCGCTGATCCATCTGTCTGTCGACTCTGATGATGGCATTCGAGGACCGGTCCAGTCCCAGTGCGGCGAGTGCCGGTCAGCTGCATCCCAATTCGCCGGAATCCTCCAGGACCTCTCCATACACTTGCACCACCATCGAAGAGTCCAGGACCTACCAAGAGGCTTACAGGAGGTCAGTGTGCTGTATATTTATTTTTATAGAATATCTACAGGCCAATAAAATCAGCGATGGTATCTGGTGACATTTCTTACATCCTCTAGTCTTTAAGATCTCCTTGGAGGCTTAGAAGAAGTCATTCGCTATTAGAGCTCATCTACTGTTATTCAGATATTTTCTAATGGACACATTCATTGAACAGACCCAGTAACTTACAAGGGAGGCAACAAATATTCGTAGGAGCCATAATTATGCATTGAAGCCCCACTTACGTACCAAGATGTTTATTATAGATCATTGTTACTTATGTCTAAATAGAAAGCACATTCATTATACAGATCAAGAAAGGCCCTGAGACAGTATCTACCTACTGACTTTCGCGTCGCACATACTTTCATTGGGGATCTATAGTATGTCTAATACTTATGCGACGCATCTTCAGTTACTTGTTTTCCCGTAGGAACAAACCCCATCTTGTATACTAATAACATGTAAGAAACGTATTACGTGGTGAGGTATATCAGAAAAAAGGCTTACAGGAGGTCAGTGAACCATGTTCACCTGTTTTTCAATAGGAATGAGCAGTGATCACACAAATTTAGGAGTTATTAAAATAATGATCTGACCCAAAATAATTTATTTTGTATGTGTTGTTCGGTAGATTTTATGTATTATTATTTACTAGACGAAAAAGGCACTGAAGTTTTACACGTTTCTCAAGAATCTTTCGACAAGTTATACGGTAGATCATTCACTTATTCAAAGACACTAATGTAGTAATATATCATTTAAATTATTTTGGTTTATTGTTATTTATTTTTGTGTAAAAAATTAAAGAATGAGATTAATCGAATATTCTCCCCAACTCTGCCGTTATTCTGTTTATTCTGCTTCAGAACCTGTCAGCAAATTAGTTCCTATTCAGTAAAGCCACAAGCAATTTATACACGAATCCTTTATACTCAGGGATGATGGGCACAGGATAGAACCCCGGGGCACTCCATAATATTCACCAGTTGGAAAGTCCCGATTGCGCTTCCTTTATTTCAGTAGAAGCATCTCAAATTCTGTGGAAGAATGGACCTTACTGAATGATGGGCCATAGAAAAGTTGAAGGTTTTCCATTGATCTCAAAGATCCTTGATTTTTGGCAGTGTAGTTTATTGCAAAATATACTAAGCTAGCACTAAATAGAAAATAATTATGAATTCCATGGACGACTCTGGGGTCAGTCTCACGAATAACATTAACAAATAATGTGCGCCATGTATCTTGGAAGCCAAACTTTTCAGGAGACATTTTTATATCAACTATTCTACTTGAATATGGTTTAGAATGCGCTACTGTATTTACAGCATATCATTAAGTAACACCCTGGCATATGTATCCTTTCGGGCTTTAGAAAACACGAGTTTTGTCCTTGAAGTAATTCCGAGTGATAAAAATCAACGTGGATCTCGGTGGGCAAGAGTTGTAGTTGAGTTTTAGGAGACGAAAATATAAAGTCTTAAATGCGTCTTGTCATAGTCTACTGATAAATTTGAAACAATATTCATCTCTGTCTAAATCAACCCTTTCTTTTACAGGATGGAACAACAAGAGCGAAGCTTCTTCAGAATAACTTCTTTCGCCCTGCCTAGTCCAAAAACAGAAAGTGAACGTTCCTCCTCACCAACAGAGAGTGTTTCCTCAGTTGTCTCATCAGTCCAAAATGAACCTCCTGCAACAATCCAGCCTCTGAAATACTCGATCACAAACATCCTCAAACCCGACTTTGGCCGCTCAGCGGTCCAAAAGACGAAAACAACACCAAAGATCTCCTTCCGACCCTATGAAAACAAAGATGTGGAGGTCAAGCCCTTCAGTATAGCTCCCTTGGGCAGCTTGTGCCAGACTGTGTCACAGATCGGGGCTACGACGTTGAAGAAGAGCCCTGAACCCATACCAAGGTAAGCATGGAAACAATATTTTGACAGATTAAAAAGATCCCGCCTAATGGAGTCAAAGTAGATCTTGTAGATCGTGGTTTAGTCCTTGGATGTTATAAAAACATTATTTTTTAATTTCCAGACCAAAGAGTCCAGCGAAAAATGCACTGGTTGGTGCAGAAGAAACCAAAAAGGAGGGAGAGGGCAATGTGCCTCAGTTGTGGCCTGCGTGGGTTTACTGCACGAGATATTCGGACCGACCAAGTTCAGGTGAGTTACGTGTTACTGATTCTATTATATACAGTTAGAATAGTCGATAAATATCGAAAAGGACATTCTGATAGCAGTGGGAAAATAAAATGTTCATCTTACATCGTACTTCGTTATTTTGGAAAAACTGGCAGAAGTATTTTCTCATATTTAAAAGCATTTAAGCTCAATATTATGTAAATTATGTGAATGTCTGATTCAACACTTTTATTTTCAACATCTTTTTACTTCAGGCAATTGTAATCCCGAAAAATTTAGAAAATGAGACATTAAGTTTTTTAGACGTCTGTCTGTCCGCTAATCGCAGATCCCGCTATATACGTAATTTGGGAACTATTGCTCGAATTTGGATGAAATTTTTACATAAGGTTACTACCCAAGTAGAACAGGACATTGGCTGAACATTGTTTTTATGTTGAATCAATATTCATATATTGGCATTGGCGTTCCAAACAAACACCAATATCTGTCCTATATTGGGTAAACTTTGGAAAATATATTTTATTTGGTTTGGTTTGTCTTTTAGCAGATATTGGCACAACATGTTATTTTTCGATATTGATTGTAGGATATTGGCGAAACATTGTAATTGTCTTCTTAAACATAATATTACAGGTAGATGTTGGCTAAATATTGTTTGACAGTGGAAGTACAATATTTTTAAAACATATATGGGCCAAACATTGTTTCTTCCTATATAACACTAATATTGTCGACCAATATCACTCCAATGTTGTTTGTTGATCGTTCAGCCAATATTTCCTGTATAATCCTATACTTGTCCTATATTGGCTGAACTTTGGAAAACACAACGCTGTGTTTTCTCTCTTATGCTTTATTGTATCAGTATGTTATTTTGCGACATTGGTTGTAGAATGTTGGCACAATATTGTGATTACGTTCGTAAATATACTAAATGACATATAAATCCGAACACCCAGTTTAAATGGCTTTATTTTAATAAAATTTTGTATAAGTACTTAATGAAGCATAATAAGTAAATGATAAAAATTTCAAAATGATTGCACTGCTTTAAAGCCCTTTGACCTTTGAATAATGTGTGGATGCACCCTGATGTGCTACGTATCCTCCAACGCGCCTAGGCATGCTTCTGATCAGGTGGTCAATGTCCTCCTGTGGTATCTCATTCCAGGCAACCACCAACTCCTTCTAGAGACTGAGGAGGACGTTGCAAATTGAGCAATCTCCTACCCATCATATCCCACACGTGCTCAATTGGGGATAAGTCGGGAGATCTTGGTGGCCATGATAACAATGTGACATCATTATGTTGGAAGAAGTCTATTGTGACTCTTGCAACATGTGGTCGGGCATTATCTTGTTGGAAAGTTGGATCTGCCAGGGTGTCAAGATAGGGTAAAAGATGGGGTTCCAGAACTTCGTGGATATAACGCTGCGCGTTCATGTTACCTCTGATGAAGATTAAAGGTGACCTGGAACCATAAGCTATAGCACCCCAAACCATAACTCCAACAGTGTGATGAACATGTCTTTCAACAAAAAACTGTGGATTCCTCCTTTCACCACGTCGCCTTCTAACCCTGGCACGACCATCGTGCATGCCTAAACAAAATCGAGACTTGTCACTAAAGACAATACTGTTCCATTCCTGATCCCAGAGTGACCGTTGTCTGCACCACTCAAGGCGATTACGTCGGTGTTCTCGAGTTAAAGGGAGGACCCAGTGTGGCCGGTATGAAAACAAGCCAAAACTTCTCATTCGTCGGTAAACACTTCGCATGCCAATAGGTCTTCCGTGTTCTGCAAACCATTCATTTGCAATGGACCTGGTAGTGGAGAAATGGTCCCTTAAGGCCATAAATCTTAGGTGGCGATCTTCACGATCTGTTGTTCTACGGCGGCGTCCAGTGCCCCTTGCTCTTTGCGTACGGCCTTCTCGAAGCCATGCCTGACAACACCTAACCACAGTGTCTACACTTCTTTGCACTCTAACTGCAATTGCCCGAAAAGAAAGTCCAGCTTCCCGTCCCAATATACGGCCCTATCAAACTCACTAAGTTGACGAAATCGTACAGGTCTCCGTACTCTAGGCATCGTAACCGATCGTAAAGGATAACAAGAACCAAAATCCGCCAACGTTGATTCTTTACTGCGGCTGAAATATTCATTTTTAGAGCGTTAGTGAATTAAAAAAAAGCAGTATAAAAACCGGAATGTCCAACTGATAAGGCTGAAAATTTTTTCACTTGTTATTTACAGTAAGATAAATATATTCACCAACTTTTATTAAAATAAAACCATTTAAACTGGGTGTTCGGATTTATATGTCACTTAGTATACAATATAGCGGATAAAAGTTGGCAAGATATTGTATTCATAGCGGAAGTACAATATTGTTAAAATGTATATTGGCCTTATATTCTCGCTGCCCATACAGGAAAACATCCTTGAATACGCTCGCAAGCAGGATCTTTGAAGACAGGGAAGACACCGTAACTACCGGCCCGTCCGTTCTTGCTTAAGGAGTGTGAAATTTTCATTTTTTTCAAATCCAATTTGTAAACAAACAGTTCTGTTCACTTTATGACGGGTTCCGTACTTGCGGGCACCACATGTTTTCATATAATCGTTTGCTGGAAGTAGGATCGCATTTAATATCGTATATCATTTAAAAGTATGATATCTGTTATCTTAATTAAGACTTTGACGTATATTTGCTAGAAAAAATTGCTTGTTTTTACACCGTGTAATGGAAAATCGTAATTTTAATGCCACCCTGTAGAATTTGCAACCGTTACAATTTCGTGATGAATAGAATCCTGGACTGCAGGAGGCGTCGGGGCATATTTTTGCCATACAATAAGCTTCAGTGATTGGCCTAAATGAAACAACTTTGTCACCCCGCGTTCAACTGTTATCGCCTGTACGCGCGCGAAAGAGGAAAATCGTCCAAACGGTGACTCATCGCCGTACCGCCAGATGGCAGCACCGGTTCGTTGTGGTTCCACTCGCATCGTCGCGTCGCAGACCACACAAGTCGATTCTCTCGCTGCTGCTTGCAGTGAATTCCACCGCTTGTAACGATTTGGTGAAATGCTTTGATTTATTACATATCAACTATGCTTTGCCTGCCTGCTTGATGCCTCTGCGCTCAACCGGTGATGGGATATTCTTGCGGATGTTGTGAAACGCATTTGCGTAGAGTGCAGATACATGATTATTACATTGCGTACCGTGAGAGTGGATTTTTATCACGTATGGTGGAGCATTATTTATTGTAAGATGAGTACGCAATTCCAATTTTGTACTTCGTGAAGTTTGTTACAACCGTCGATTGCTCATATGTACTATATTTGGACTTTCACTTAGTTTAGTCGATAACTCCCTCTTGTGGACGCTGGGGACCTCCGAGGGTGAAAGCGTTAAAGACGCAGTGGATAATCATTGCCCCCCGCTTTTCAATGTTCTATGGCCGAACCCCCCTTCCCGAGTTGATACGCACATTTTCCTGAACAATTTTTTGGGTGGCGCTAGAAAATAATGATATTGATAAATAATTGTGCAGTAGACAAATAAGTTTGATAACCTCTGACGTATGCGCTGTTCTCATCAAAAGCATCCCGACGACAACTCGACCTCAGCTCGATTTCGACAGTTTAATACAACATATATTATTGAAAACTGAAAGTTCTCCCTACCTTCTGGAGACAATTCGCATTTATAGATCAAAACAATAAAATCTGCATATTCTTCCCACAATGAATCACTGAAACGCTTATTTTAGAAGGATGCGTTAGCATCCCAAATGATACGGCACGATTTAGACCTCAGCAATGTTTACGCCAGAACCTAATAATACTTATCAATTATTTATTATAAAGAGTATCAGACATTTTAGTCTTTTTGTAACATCAATTTACTGTAAAAGTTTGTAATTTTTCGATGATTCATCCAGAACTCGTAGCTTTGTTGTTGAGGTACGTAATGGCATGTAAAATAGATAGAATATATTGGAACACCTTTTACTTCTTTTAGTTGAAATTGAGATTTTTTCCAAAATTTTTACTACTGATTTTGGTTATAATAATTTACGTGAGTATAGTTGTAGTCACCGTTCTTGGCGGGTCTAAGTAAGACTACCAGCATTCCTTTATATATCTCCATTTCCTTCATACATACACATGCAACCTACCCCTGTGTGTGAACGTTTGTTCGGTAAGCTCAATGGCAGACGTTTTTTAGTTGTGTGTCTCGGTCTCGAAAACTTTGTCGTTACGCAAGAGTGCCCTTCAATCATATTTGTCAGAGTGACAACTTACTTGACATCGGCGTGCAATTTGAATTGTTCTGTTATCAATCTCCAATATAAAACTGTCTAAGGTTTTAGTCTGCGCAGAATAAAATCAGAAAATAAGAAATTTTTGCACATAGTACCTAACACCTGGGGAAACTCACAAAATCAAAAGATCCAAGACCGATGATATAACTGACGCCCATGTTTATTTACTAGATAAGAAGATTTCTAAGAATTACGATTAGTAAATAATTTTGAATCGGTTTCCCTCAATTAAGATCCGCCCATGGTACGGAGACTCGATCTGTTAACTTATTTCATATGACGTTGCTGACGTAACCGCCAAGAACGGTGACTACAACCACTAGGTGACACTACCACATAATATGAGAGGCAGCCCAATCCGGACGTCGGTAAAGTAGAAAAGTAGAAACCCCATATGTTCGTGGGCGCCTGCAGGGAGCCTGCCCCTTGTGATAATTCTGTTGGACCTTAAAATTTGCATATTTGGCATGAGTTTTTGTATAATTTTGGCGGCTATTAGGATCTAAACACCCTCCTCCAACCCTGAGAAAATTTGCTACCTCGTTTTCCGGTCAACCAAACGGAAAGCAAACATCATAGTTATTCAGTCTATGTTTAGTGCAGATGTTCCCAATCCTTTTCGATTTGCGGCTCCCTGAATAATCGGATTTTAGATAAGATTTTTTTACTTTCTGCATAC